ACCAAAATAGGAAAGGGGAAAAAGATAAGATCCAATTAATGAGGCAAAATTATTCTTGTCCAGCCCTTTGCGGACAGTTGAGGAGAAGGACATGAAATGATACATTTTGGAACAAAGACACAGCAATATTTAATAGTATCTCTCACCTCACTCAAATGAACAAACTCACATGCACCCATAGTCAATAATGGGGTGCCCTACATTATTAAACCTATTCCGTCCTATCCTAAAGTGATGATAAATTAAATTACAAAAGTATTATGTATTTCACGATGTACAGTGCAAAAATTTAGTACATAGATGTGATCTTTCTCTAATAATGAATTAAATAATATTTACAGTTTATCTTTATAACTTGGATGTGAAATAAGGTTAATTAATTTGGACATATAAACTCACACTCATAAAGACATAAAGTGATCCTCATTATCTTGCCTTGCGTCAAATGATATGACCACATGCACATGTAATAATGTGGTTTTCCCTTCCCAACCCCCCAACCCCCATAAGAGCAAACCCATATTGCACATTTGCATAACTTTAGGTGTATTAATTAGTTGAAACAAATAACCGAGCATTCCAGCCCAGCTGGTTATGAGGTTACTGTACCTAGGGAGAAGTCTCGAGTTCGAAACCCGCTAAGCACATAAGGCTTTCAAACTCAATGGAATGAGTTTGAGCCCTGATTACTCCAGACCCCCCCAGCCCCCCTCCCCAGACCCCCTGGAGTAAAAAAATGGTTGAAACAAATTGCCACTTTCGATCCTCCAACTATTATGTAAGTGATACTATTGATATTCGACTTCTAATTTTTTCATTTTTATTCCTCGACTATTGTGCTAGAGACGTTTTTAGTCACCGACTTCGAGATTTTCCACATTTAGTCCCCTGACTATTGTCAAATTGACACTTTTAGTCCTCCCATTATGATTTACACACAATAAATAGAGGACTAAAAGCATCAATATTATAATAGTTGAAGGACCAAAAGTGTCACTTTTATGAAAGTTGAAGGACTAAATATGGAAATATCCAAAGACGAGTGCCAAAAGTGTCTCTAGCGTAATAGTCGAGGACTAAAAAAGAAAAATCAAAGTCGGGTATCAAAAGTGTCAATGACATAATAATCGGAGGACTAAAAGTGGCAATAAGTCAAAAGTCATATAATTCCATTGTCGAAACCGGAGAAAATGATTAGAGTGAGCCCGATAAAGAAATCCATTGATACAAAATTTTGAACAATAAGCGTGGGTTATTATTTAACAAAGGGTTTTACCAAATTTTGAACAGGTATAGTAGATTGGAACATGCTCCACATATGCCATTGAATATATGTTTGATACGATTAGCTAAAAATTTAATTTGATACTCGTACATTTTTAGTATCATTTAAAAGTTCATAAATAATTTTGCATAACAATTTGATCGAGATAAATTAGCTAAGGTTTAAGTAACATTTTATAATAAACAAACAAAAACTCAAACAAGCTTGCTGGACACTTTGCCATGCCAATTCAAATAAACAACTACAAATTGTTCGAAGTTTTTCACTACATATATCGTAAAGTAAAACTTCTAATCGAAAAATGACGGTGATAGGCGAAACTCAATGGGTAGATTGGTGTTCCATAAAAGGTAAGTCTCAAGTTTCGATCCTTACAACTACGATGAAAGGTTACTATGTACAAATGCATATGACCTCAGCTAGTATATGGGTCATAGTCTCACTCGCTATATATCAGCTTGTAATTAAAGTTCAATTTACACACTTTAAGTTAGTTGTCCCCATAGAGGAGCCTAAAGAATGACAAACTTACACATACAAGATTAACACCGAAGTACTGGCACTTTTTTTATTATAAAAGAGCAACTTTTATATAAAAATCGAGAACACATACAAGACAACCTTCAGATATATTTTACAGATCTTATCGTGAACCCTAAGAGTAGACATAGAGTCAGTCACCTCATACAAAGCAATCTGACTCGATAAACCTGAAACGGGCAAATTTAAGCCTAAAACGACTGGAACTGAAACCTTGTCTATCAAAAGAACTTCACAAATCCAAACATTCAAATCAAACCTACTCGTACTAAAATAAAAACAAGTACTATTAAAAAGGAAATAATATTGAATTAAAATATTTTCACAAAACTCTTCCTGGTAAGGAGGTGGTTCCGAAGGAGGACGAGCTCTTGCAATATGGATGAATACTAACTCCACCACCGTTGTAGCGGCCGACTAAGGTTGCACGATCCATAATCTGTCGCTTCAATCCATATTGATAGAGGCAGCGGAAAATCTCACGCGCTACAAAAAAGAAAGACAATCGCTGGATTTTTTTGCTCTGGCAAGGTGGGTTTATCAGTTTTTCTTTATATACGGAGTCGAAGTAGCGGCACTAGGTGTACCGGTAAAATAATTCAGTCATATACATTTGTAATAAAAACTTTCACATGAAATACTTACAAGTCACGGAACGTTTTGTCCGCAATTTACACACATGCACGAAGCAAATACTGATGCGGGTCATGCGGCATTAGGCAATTGGTTTTAACTTTTCGTAAGAAACTTCAAATATACTCGTACTATGTTAATACGAAGTACAAAAATAACACCAATGATAATTTTTCGGGAAAATGTATATATGATCCCCAGTAGTGAGTAAATTTAGTGAGCAAGAGGATTTTTATTCATAAATAGTTACGAAGAGTTTTTCAAAATATTTCTTCATATGTAGTACTTCATCCGTCTCTTAAAACTTTGTCAACTTTTCTTTTCTTGGATGTCCCACTAACTTTGATACTTTCCTTTTTAAGTGAAGAATTTGTGGTTCCAGTTAACTCTTTCTCCTCTGCACAAACCTTGATCACATAATTTTTACTTTATTAATACTCGTGCCGGTCAAACTTGGCAAAATTTTAAAAGATGCGGGTATAACATTTTTATACCGTAAATTGGAACATTTTTAAAATTTGGTGTGGACAGAACCTTCATTAACCCTCCTTAGCTATGCCCCTAGTTGAACTCAAGGGTCGTCAGGATAGTATTTTCAAAAAAAAATCATCCGGAAAAAAACTGATTGGAAAAGAGGCCTCATCATAATAATGGCCGTAATGGCAGATCTTATACATCTTAGACCTAGATTCTCTACCGCTAACTCATTTAGAAAGATAATAAAAATATTGTTCTAAAAAAAAAAAAGACAATAAGTACTTTATAATAAGAACCATTGTTCTAAAATGCAATGTCTAGGCATGAGCAGGGGTGGAGACAAGGAGGGGCTGGAGCGGAGCTTGGTCCTGCAAGAAAAAAAATCTTAAATATATATTATGTATAAATACTTTGAATCTAGAGAAAATATGTTGGTATTTTAAATTTTGGTCCCTACAATGTAAAATTCTCAAAGCTCGACTCCCTTAATCATAAATTTCTGACTCCACCACTGGGCATGAGGCGGCGAGAAAACGTACTGCATAATAGAAAGGTGTGAAAAATATGATCAACTGGATAGTTGACCATCAAAGGCAAGGAAAAATGTAAGTCTAGCGAAAAAGGCAAGATCCAGGTGAGAATTAAGTTATTTGCAAAAAAAAATTGACTAAATATTAAAAATATACATATGAAATCTAATAAGGAGTAGTACGGAGAAATTTAGATATCTATTCGTATTTCTTCATACTACATCCGTCCCAAAAAACTTCGTCGTTTCAAAGAATTTGATCATTAATTTTGATGAGTATAATATTATGAAAATTATAAATTTTATACTTTTATGAAAATACTTTTAACAAAGAACATTTTCATATAATTTTTATATTATAAATAATTTTCAATAAAAAGATATAGTCGGTCAAAGTTTTGAAAATGACAAAGTTTTTTGGGACGGAGGTAGTATATCACAACAAAATACGTAGTAGAAATTATCAACAGAAATCATCTAAAACGCCTTTTTAATGCCTAAGTTTAGCCTATTCCAACCTAGGTTCCTTGAGACTTGACCTTATCACTCTTAACAATTAACAAGCAACAATATTGTGTCTTACAAAGTTTAACTTCTTTGTATTATTATGGGTGACCCATAATGGGTCAAAGCTCTTTTTCAAGTGATTGGCCTACACTGAGACCACACTCCCACGAGGGTCCGAGGTCCTCGACCTTCTGCAAGACTCCAACACATATTGTCCAAAACTTGAAGGATGGAAGTAGTCATGACTCCATAATACAATGATGGCGGCCCACTTACGATAATCCCAACTATCTATTATTTCATAATAATCTCAATTTTAGGGATCATCCGCCAATAATAGTCTCTGTAAATAAGTTTATGTATTTTTTAAAGTGGATGAGAAGAGATATATCAAGTAATCCCTATAAATTATCACTAACTTTTAATTTTTAAGCTTAATTTCTATTTAAAATTCACTTTTATTGAAGGTAATATTTGGTCATGAACCATTATTGGCGGACGGTCAATATAGTTGGGATTATACAAAAATAATCAATAGTTGTGATTATTGTTAGCGGACCGGCAATAGTTGAGATTATTATTTTCAATTTTTCCTAATACAATCATATAAAACTATATATAGAGGCCGTTTGGCAACACTCGTTTTGGGCTTATCAGGCTTATCAGCCAACTTTTTCACCAAACACGTAACTTTTGCTTTCACGCGCTGATTTGTGTAATAAACAGAAAAAGTAAGGTTGGAGTTACTTTTCTGGCTGTATTGACTGAAATCACTGTAGATGACCATTTTAGCTATTTTTACATATAATTTTTTCTTTATTTTATCAAGAAAATATATTTTAAAAATAATTTTTTCTTATATCAGCAGAATCAGCCAATGCAACCACTTCAGCCATAACTTCATAAATTTCAGCAGAATCAACCAAATCAGCCGATTTTCGTGCTACCAAACGGGCTCATAATTGGACCGTGACATTACCATCTTAATAAGCACAATAATTCCAAATAGAGACAAGACAAAACAAAATGTATGGAGAAAGATTTCATGCCATTTAGTACGGAGCAATGTATAGATAGAATACATTTTTCACTGTTCTCACAAGTACTTGACCACAGCACCCAAATCCCCACATTGCTGTATAATTTATGTGTAGTGTAGGGGGGAAGCATTCCATATGGAACAACCAATTCTTTTTATCTACTACTAGGTAATAAATAAATATGAATCTATCTCCCACACCATTACATATATGAGTGGTCCGCGGGCCCACAGGCCCAACATTCGAAAGTCCAATGGGCTCTTGGGTCACTCATTCGAGCCAACGGGTCATTGGAGCTGTCCACGGACCGGGCTGATGAGTAACACTCTCTACAAAAACCCACATGAATGACCAAAATAACAGTATGTTTGTGCTAATAAGATTAATGTCCGAGTATATATATGTAGTTGCAATTAAGATTAATTACTGGAATGTGGGATCTGGCGTGTACATTGATAGATCGGGCCAGTCATTGTTAGCCCCACTCCAACCCGAACCCGGGTGACTTTGAACCAAACCGAGCCCCAATCGGGCCATACCGTCTGTGCTCGGGCAAGAGGAAGGAGCCGGGTTCGGGTTCCCGGTAAACTCACCCAACTGTAAATCCGACCCATCCAGTAAATTCCCAAACTGCCCTCCGCCGCTGGCAGTCAAAAGCGACGTGAAGCTCGTAGCATTCACACTGAAACCCTGAAGCCCGGAGATTTCGAACTGCGCCGACTTCGGCGGCGCCGTCGAAGGAGGGAGGTGGAGCGGCGGGGAAGACGGCGTCGTCGAGGACCGCTTGGAAGAGGAGGAGGACGAGGAAGAGGAGGAAGACGAGCGCTTGGCGTTTTTGCGGGAGCCGCCGCCGACGGGGATGTTTCGGAGAGCGCCGCCTTTGGTCCAATACCTTTTGCAGTTCTTACAGAAGTGCCGCGGCTGAGAGAGGTTGTAGTTGTTGTAGTAACAGAACTTAGTGTTCATTGAATCGCATCTAGGGCATTTCAGGTGTTCTTGCTCTGGGAATTGAGGCTTGATCTGTGCGTATACTGCCGGGTCTTGCATCTTCTTCCTTCGGAATCCCAAATTGATCCAATCTTCTTCAATATTGATGCGATCAGACTGAAATTTGCAGAAATAATCTGCAGAATTTTTTGGGTTTGACTATATGAGGCAAATATTGGCTGGAAACTGGAAGTTGGGTACTTGGAGTTAAAGGATCTGTAGAGATTAGAGGTAGTTTTTGTTGAAGATCAAAGGAAGATTTTGAGTTCAGGTGGGAGAGTGGAAGTTGGGAAAGAGGGAAAGACAAAAAGGAGCTTCAAAATAGAAAAAGTATGGACAAAAAAGTCAAGATTTGTTTTTCATATGCACTCTTCTCAATCAGCAACCAAACAAAAAAAGATCAATTTTAAGCCAAGAAGAAGAAGAAGACTAGACTGACATTTCCAGGGCAGCAGCTGAGTAATTTTATATTCCAGGGAAAAGCAAATCAGAATAAATCTCTGGAAAAAGGGGAGAAGATAAAGATGAGAGATAAAGGACCTCACTTTTGGTTTGAATGAGCACTGACTGATCTGATAAATAGAGAGAAGGGCAAAGGTATTCACCCTATCTTGGCCTTCCCCTGTTTTTGGTGAATTTGTACAAAAAAAAAGAATTTGTGAAATGGTAAGAGTTTATATACAACTTGAATCTCAATCCATAGTACATGAGATGATGCTTCTCTAATCTCACAAATACTTAAATATCACTAATTTACGGAGTATTTATTATACGTCAAAAACTTAAACATGTTATTATAAGTTCTCCATCTAAATTATTTTTAATCTTTTACTTTTCATATCTAACTTTTATAAATTTGTGTTTTTTGTGACTTTACAAACTTTTAATGCGATCTGTGAAAATATAAATCTTATTAATTAAAAAACAATCTTATTATTGATAGAAATTAGTTCAACTTTATAATCGATCAAACATTGTAAATCAGATGAGAACCTTTATCCGAGCGAGAGAAATACTACGTATAACATAGAGAATATATGTAACATAATAATGTTTTCCACCATCTATATCCCTTTATCATCATTTTTTGGATATGGTCATTTTGAGTTGAGTTTGGAATTGATTTCATTACTGAGAGTAAAAAATGAAGATCTAAATACATCAATGGTAATATGGTATAGATGAAAAGTGTCGAACCAGTAGCTTTTCTAACATACATACCGGTACTCCCTCCGGTTCTTATTAAAGTTCCCACTTTCCTTTTTGGGATGTCCCTTATTTAAATTCACACTTCCATTTTAGGAAACAAAACAGTGCAAAACAGTGCCAAACAGTGTCCAAACAGTGCCAAATAGTGCCAAACAGTGCACTCCACAGTAAAGTCAAATTCATTTTCTTAATATGTGTGAAGTCAAACTGGGAACTTAAATAAGAACCGGAGGAAGTAGTAAACATAAAATCTCGTTACATTTCATTTTTTCATATCTCACTACATAGTGAATTATCTATATTTATTTGATTTGATTTGATTCGGTTTAATTTTAGAAATATGCGAAAGTACATAATCTAACTCAAAAAGAAAAAGTCATATTCTATTGTTTAATACTTCAACCCATGGGAACAAAAGTATTAGGAGTACTTATTTTGGTTTTCAATTTGTTTGGAAATGATAAAAGTATAAAGTTATAGTCCATAGATCAAAACATTCCTACTTTTACTAAACATATATTCCACCCATTCTTTTCTAATTATCGCACCTTTTCTTTTTGAATCGTCCATTGATAAGATCACAAGATTCCTATTCCCTTATAAAGAAAGCTTTGTGTGGCAAATTAGTTACGGAGTGTTACACTGTTACACTTTTGAACCATAAAATCAATCATGTAGTCTTGTTTATTAAATTTGTGTATAAAGTCAAATGATTTCACTTAAAAGTAAAAGACATTAAAAACTTACTACCTCCATCCCAGAAAATTCTTTCCACTTTGACTTGGCACGGAGATTAAGAAAGTGAAATAAAGTGGAAATGTGTGGTTGTAGTTGTGTAAGAAAAATATGAAATGAATGTGAACCACACAAGTTGTCCAAAAATGATAAGTGGGAAGAATTTATTGGAACGACCCAAAAAGAAAAGTGGGAAGAATTTTATGGGATGGAGGGGGTATATAATTATGAACCCCTTTGGTGATTCCGTTTTTCGGCTTATCAGGCTTATCAGCCACGTAATTTTTAATCAAACACGTAATTTTTAATTTCGCGTGCTGAATTATATAATAATAATAAAAGTAAGGTTTAAGTTACTTTTCTGGCCGTAATGGTTGAAGTTATTGTAGATGTCCATTTTAGCTATTTTTTCACACTACGTATAATTTTTTCTTTATTTTTTTAATAAAATATATTTTAAATATTTTTTTTTCGTAAATCAGCAACATCAACCAATACAGCCACTTCAGTCAAAACTTCATAAATTTCAGTAGAATCAGCCGATTCATCCGATTTCAGTGTTACCAAACGGCCTCCATATGTATCTTGAATTATCAAAAATTTCTACCCTTGTCACCTTGTGATCAGGAATAAATTATCCAATGAAGTAACGTTGGAGAAAAGTTATTCCCTGAACTAAGGGGAAAATTTTCTCAAGAGAATGATGATACCAACTAAATACTCGAGTGCTTTGTTTTTCAAAATAAGTAAGGAATGTTATAATTCCTCCCACCAACCAAACACATTCTAAGTTTGAACATTAGGGCTGTTTGTTATGATGAAAAATGTTTATATTCTAGAAAAGGGTGAGATAGGGCATCGAACTTAAAAACAAATGTCAAATAAGGTCTTATATAGGAGGTTTTGTCCGTCCGACGCCATTTTGGACGGTTCCTGGTGGAATATTTCGATGAAATTTTGTGAGAGTCTTATTCATTAAGTCTAATTTACTCATACCAAATTTCAGCTAAAACTTCAATTGGGAAGACATTCAAATAAATTATTGAAGATAACTGCGCTTTTAACTACACACTTATCTTCAAGAATTTATTTGAATGCCTTCCCGGTTGAAGTTTTATCTGAAAATTGGTATGAGCAAACTACACTTAATGAATAAGATGCTCAAAAAGTTTCATTGAAAAATTCCACCGGGGACTGCCCCAAATGGCGTCGGCCGGACAAAACCTCTTATATAAGGTCTTATTTGACATTTTTTTGTAAGTTCGAGACCCTATCTGATCCTTTTCCCGTTTACATTCTTATGGAGAGTAATATGGAGTAATGTTTATGGTGGGACTCTTTGCACTGTGCCGTGTAGTAAACTACAATTTGAGCTTAGTGTAACATGTTTAGTATGTTAGTGACTATCTTTTACATTTATACTATATTGATTGATGAAAAGTTTTAAATTATTTGTTTTGTACGATACTTTTTATGAGTTCTGAAAGTTTAAACTTTTGTGAGGAGTTGTTCTGAAAGAGTATACGATACTACTAACTCATATTAAAAAACTTTGTCATTTTCAAAACTTTGACTATCTATATTATTTTTATTGGAAATTATTTATAAATCTAAAAATTATATGAAATTTTTTTTTTGCTAAAAGTACTTTCATACAAATATAAAATTTATAACTTTCATAATATTATAGTAATCAGAATCACGATCCAAGTTTTTGAAATGACAAAATTTTTTGGGATGAATATAGTATTTCTTTTAACATAAACTAGTTAATTACTTATTATACCAAACATGATTAATTAGGTGTATGCTTTGGCACAATTAGCTAAAGAATGCGGTTTTAAGTATCTGATGCATAGTTCTGTTTTAAATGTTGCATATGCCTATGATGAGGAGCTACTCACATAAGAGCATCTTCTAAACATGTTAAGTTTTGAAATGGCTTTCAAATCCAAAAAGGTGGAATAGCCCACCCAGACGTCCCCGGACCCCAAGGGCGGCCTTGTATGTTCGAAGGCCTAGAGACAGAAAATGAAAATGGGCCTAACGTTACAAAAAAATTAGAACTCTTTTCTATCTAAAGTGACATGCATAATAATAGTAATAATAATATTTCAAGACATTTATAAAAATTTGTCAAATCATATTCTCTCTAAACCTATCATATTATAGTATTGGTGATCTTTGTTTAAGAAGGAAGCAATGGTAACCCTATTTGTATATTTTACCAATGTTTAAGTCGTATTTAAGGAATTAACTCTATATCACCTCCTAATTTCCCCTCTAATGATGTAATCATTCTGAATCATTTCACTTTCAGTAGCTAAATTGTTGTTCTTTTATTAGTTCTCATCTTGAAGGGGACATTCAGAATTTGATATCTTTACACAAACAAACCTTTCCATTGATCGAACTATTTTTACTTAGCACCACTTTCTCTAATCATCTCCTCTTTTTTATTTATCATATTCAGATTCAATCCTTTTTATTACACCTTAAAATTAATTATATTTATAAACTTTGTCATAATTCAAAATGTTTGTCTAACAAAATCAACAAGTTATACCACTCGATAGAAAACAATCAACAATTAAGAAGTCAAACAATTAATTATGAATGTAATCAATTAATAAACTAATCAAATAACCACATCAGACTAATTTGCTTTAGAGTACATTTTTTTTGTGAAATTTTAAGAGAATATTTTTCATCAAGTGTAGATTATGTCCATAAAATTTCAGCTTAAAATTAAATATTGAAGTCAGTTAAATAAAGTATTGAAAAATTATCGGCCAATATATGTATAAAAATGCAATGCTTTTCAATTATTTATTTAACTGACTTCTAAATTGAACTTTAAACTAATTTTTTTTACATAATCTACGCTTCATAGAGAACATGATCATAAGTTCTCACAAAAAATCCAATCCAAAGAAATTCAACAAATTCTACCCGAAAAATTGTTAGTTTAGGGTTGAAAAAGCAACCTACTCACACATATTACAAAGAACTAAACTTGGGCCTATTTTTTACCCACATTTTTTGGGCCTAGGGCACCCGCCCCCCTTGCACCCCCCCTAGGGTCGCCCCTGCCGGACCCCGACTCGACAAAATGTTTTTACTTGGACTATTTTCAGTCCCAGACCAGATCGGACTAGACTTGGATAAATATAAAATACACAGAGATCACACATTTACCAGACCAGTTTGAATCAGACCAGACCAGATCAAACCAGACTAGCAAAATTCAATCTAAGTAAAAACATCCTAAGTCACAGTATGAAACTCTCACACTGTCGCTGTCGGGAATGGAACCTGAGAGTCTGAGACCTCAATTCAACAACCTTTCCCAGCCACCGTTGAACTACCGGTGTGTGTTTGAAATGGCTTTCAAAAATTATGTCAAACATACAACTATGAGCGATTAACTAGTACAAATATTGGAAATTTGGAACCAAGACTGGGTCGGGACTGCCCGACCATCGACTAGACCGGACCGAAACAAAGACTGTAGCAGGATAGGATCAACCACTTGACGTTAGTAAGTGATGGATAGTGTACCCGGGGGGTAGCTTATCCGAGGGGTTATTGCGGAGAATAACTAGAGAGAAGTCAGAGCAAACAAGTAAGAGAGAGAGTGTATATTCGATATG